GTAATTTAAACGCGCGGCGTATTACACACGATAGTTGCGCGCTCGCGGGCGCTATTAGCCGCCTACGCGCGCTTATAAACGCGAACGATACAGCTTTTCGTTCGGAGGGCTGCACGCGCATATAATACGAGTTACGCGCGACTCTCGCATTCGGTCCAATCTAATTTCGTTGACGACGCGACGCGCCGAGAGGACGCATTCGCTGCACAGAGCTATACAAATTGGAAAGAGAGAAGAGAGAGAGAGAGACAGAGAGATGGGTGTTTATTAGTGCGCACACGGCACACGTTGTGCGTGTTGGGATATAGTCGGGCCCGCTGCAGCGCGCACCGCACGCCAGTCAGTCGGCCTGTATAGTGGAGTACGAATCACTCGACGAGCGATATATCGCTCGCGCACACGAATCACGGCCGCCGCCGCCGCCGCATGCTGACATCGCTATTAAAAGTGACGAGCATTAAAGTCACGTGAGAGCGACCAACTGCGAGAGTTACGTGTGTCGACGTCAACTATGGATGCTCCTCATATTGGCACTTCCATTCTGCCCAAGTAAATTTAACCAATGAAATTGTTCATACTTTGAATTTAACCAAGAAACCGAGTAGTTGTGTTTTGCCTGTACGTAGGATGATGGAGTGCAGTACTTTTATGGTATACGCAAGATTGATGTACACATAGCTATTGCTAGATAAATACTTTAGAGCGATTGATTCGACGAGCAGAAAAAAAAATAAAATTAGCAAGCAAATTGAGTACTAAAAACTCTCCCTCTGCACTATTTCCAACGTAGAACTATCTTTTAATCCGCAGCTTTTATCATTAAATTGCGTAGTGGATTATGGCCGGTAAAGAAATGAAGGATCAATCGGAGTCTATCCGAAATTCTGCTAATAGTCTTTATATACATTTTTTCAAAGCTTTTAATTTACTTTTCGTAATGGAATAGAGAGAGACGCGGCGCTTTGCTCAGCTCGTGTTTTTTTATGGAAACAAAAATATCGAAACTAACTTACTATATTCGACTCGAGTTTTTAGCCGCTATTTGTTTTAATCCCTGTGCCAACAATCGAATGTAGGTGAACATTTGTCACTCGAGATGCTCGTACGCGTATAAATAATGTATCTGCAGTTTTCACCTACATTTTTGTAAATCCGCGCACGTGCGGATAAAGAATCGCGAAATTATAATTGAAGTTCTTTGGAAGACAGATGCAAGGCTAATGATATCGACGTTTTCTAATGCATCGTATATCGATTCGCGTGCGACGAGCTACTCGATGACAACTTGACTTTAGCATATTCTCTCGAGCTGCGAGTTTTCACGTATTTTCCCGCGTCTATTTTCGTTTCCATCGTCTATTCCATTCACGCTTCGTTACGATTTCAAACGATCAAAAGCAAATAATAGACCTTGACAAACTTTTCAGTTGACTTCTGCAAATCTTCCTAGCTTTCCTACGGATTAACGCAGATTTAGCCCAAAAAAAGTTCGCAGACTCGAGCTAAAAGGTATATGGACGCAAAAACCTTCCCCCAAATCGTGAATGGAAGATTTTTACGCGAGTCTTTTATAAAATATTTTCCCGCGCCTCGAATACCTCGACAAAATAAACGCCAATATCTGATAGCGAAGTTATTTCGATGATTTCAATCGCATTAAAAGCAAACAAAACCGCTTTAAGCTAAATAAAGCAAACAGAATTATATCCAGTACAAGAGCTTGAAAATTCATTGTGATTCAACCTATGGCATATGCGAGATATGTCTTTATTATTAGTTGAATCGAGATTGTATATGCTATAATTAAGTGTGTGGCTCATTTCTCGACCCGCTAAAGTTGCGTGAAAAACTTGTGTCCCTCGACGAGGACGAAATTCACTTCGTGCCACTTACACGTATAAAGTCATATAATAGCCAAAAGGTTTGTGTACAAAGTAGCTCAATTGCAGCGCAACGACACACACACACACACACGCACACATAGTCGTCCCTCCTCTCAGTCTTTCTCTCGCATGTGTTGTGCGTTATACACACTTTCAGAGGTATATCACGCGCGGCTACTGGTGGACGCGCAGGGCCCGGAAATAAGTACAGGACAAATAGTAATCTCGTGCTGCTGCTGGCCGCGTTGCACTCACAATGCAATACTCGTCAAGTACAATATATATATGCCCTCGCGCACACTCGTCGCAACCCTCTCTGCTCTGCGACAATGGTACACATACAGCTGCAGCGAGAGGAGAGAGAGAGAGAGAGAGAGGAGATGAAACACGAGTCTGCCACTCGCTGATAACATTAGCTTTTCTTGCTCACTCGTCGGCCTCGCGCTCATATATACCTATATGTATCTGCCGGCCATGCGTATATGTATACAGTCTAGTCGACGATTCTCGGCACCGCCTCGTGCACTGAGCAAGTCCTACATATAGCTCGTATATGCGCGTTATATACGCAATATTGCATACGAGATCTGTCAGATGGGCGAAACTGAGGTTGTTGCAGCAGTATATGGAGTCATTGGATGCTGCAGGACGCCTGCAGCACATCGCATCGCACTGCACACGAGCACTGAGCACAGCTGTTTATCAACGAGTGTTTCCCGACACGCGCGCGTTACTACTCTCTGATGTCGTTTTACATATATAGCCAGAGCTCTAGCGTTCAAAGCGAGAGAGAGAGAGAGAGACCATGAATCAAGGCAAATTCGGTGATTATTTTCATTTCCTCCGTATGTATACGCGCGAGCGACTGGCAAGTAATAATCAAATAAAATTACTTATTTATACGCTCGCGCGATGATGCATTTTTCTGAAGTATTTTCAGTATGAACTATCATCTCGGTGTGCGGATCGCGTTCGCGTAGCTGCGGGATTTTTTTGATTGATGGTAGATTGAAAATTAGTGCTAAAGTGCCTCGCAAATTTTTTTTCCTTGATTCGTTTTATCTTCAAACTGTCAAAGGAAAATGATTGATGTTTACCTAAAAAAGAAGAAAAAAAAGTAAAATAAAACGTCCGTCTACCGCGTGGTTGACACTAAATTTCTACCCAGATAGTTCTCTCAATTTAGTTTCAATAAAAAAAGCAAAAATTGAGAAGCCTCGAAGCAATGTGCTGCAAAAAAGGTAAGCGATATAAACTCGTGTTGAAATGACTTTTTCACGGCGCAAACGTAATAAGTTTTAGTTTTTTGGTGATACATAAAAGAAACCATCGCGAAGACGCGTATATAAAGTTGTTTTACAAACTCGCGCTGTATGTACGTCGTTTTTTGCCCTCACCCTCCACGATCGCTACATCATATTCTTCGACTCTCACGCTTTTTTATTTCGTGCTTCATTTCTCAGGAGAGTCGCATCGGGATTTCAAAGAATCGATCAGACCGTTATTTGTCACGCTTGGCATTATTTTTCGGCTGTGTGTAGACCCGCTTGAAAAAGTAGTCTGCTGAAAAAAAGTCAGGTATACATCCGCTCGATGCAATCTCGTATCAGTTCGCGTGTAGACGATAAGCAATTACGTATAGTGCTGCGACGCCGATAGAACCCATCCGAAATAAATTTTCTAGCTCGCTGCTCCGCATAGTTACTTCGCTTTGGCTATTAGAAAATTATCTAGTTTCTATCAATTTTTCCAGCAGAAAAGAAGCTAGATCGGCGGCATCGGGAGGGACGAAGAAGCGCGTCGCCTTTGACACAAAGGACAACAACAACGGCGCGGGCAAAGGCAAAAAGAGCCAAAATCAGGATCGCCAAGGCAATAATAGCGGCAACAGCAGCGACGATAAAAAGTCCAAGGAACAGAGGACCAAGTCAAAGGGGCAGAAGAAGCCAGTGGCACCCTTAGACGATGACTCGGACAATCAGGGCTTTACCACATGGCTGCGCTCGAATGACGGTGCCGAAATGATGCGCCTCTTCGTGCTGGCAAACTCGGTACTGGTCGCAGTCACAATGGCTTGGCCCATGATGCAACAGACCTTTCAAATCATTCGCGAGCTCATCTTTGGCAGCGACGAAGACGAGTATTACTGAGCAGAGAAGAAAAACAACACGGCAGTGTGAGTGCAATGTGCCGCCGCGCGTTTTTTTTTTCATTTGTGCTTCATAAAACGCGTGTACATGTGTACGTGACTTTAATCTCCAAAGACTGCGCGCGAGGTCGCCTTCTGTGATTCCTGTGAAATACACTAACACACATAGCTGCGACGAGACAGAGACTGAAATATTTTTCGCGTGAGACAAAGTGGGCGAGAGACGCGAAAAAAAAGGTACATGTAGCACTCTCTATTCGAGTCAGTGAGTAGTTTGTGTCGGCTTGCGCAAGGCATTATAAATCCGAGATTTGATCGACAACCTGCTACGTCGCGTGTAAAGGTATACGCAATTTTTTTTTGCGCTCCTCGTGCCATACGCGACAAACGATAAGGAGAGAGCATTATAGAGCTCGACATTTTTCGTTCGGCTTGCATCGATCACTGTTTATTTCCGACGTCGTGCGAGCGAGTGAGCGAGCGAACGATCGACGTCCTACATATCACGTGCGCAAAATCCCGAGCAAACGTTCAACTGCCAAAAATACACATCGGACTTTTCGCGTATATATGAACTCTCTCTTTCTCTCTCTCTCTCTCTCTCTTGGAGGGCAGGTATCGATCGATCCCCGTACGTGAAAAAATTTCGCAGAAGCTCGACGTACTATAGGATCTTGTCGTTATTAACAGCGGCTCCAGAATTAGACTGCATAAGAGCTTGAGGAACAGCTAAAACTTCAATTGCGTCACGGTCAACTACGACAGCCCCTTGGTACTCTCGAGTATAAGCCACATCTCTGTAAGCAGCTTCATTTAATCCTTTGAAACTGCCTAGGCTGAGCGCTCCTGCAACTCACTTTGGTGCACTTGAACTGATAACAACATAATAATAATAATAATAATAATAATAATAATAATATTAATAATAATCATCATCGTCGTCGCCAGTTCGGCATCTTCTCATCATAATGTTGGGCGTACTTTTTCGAGGAGTCTTTTTCTTGGGAGTTATCGGTTGGTACAGCTCGAGCCTCTGGCGCATGATCGACGGCTATTTCAAGGATCAGTTTCAGCGATATCTCGAGGAGGAGTATCGTAGAAATCCGAAGATGCGCGACAACGTAGCAATCAACAATGCGATTCCGGCGGCGGCCGATAAGTTGGAAAATCCGCCGCCTATCGATACCGATGATGCGCGACTCGTGGCTGAATCGCTCCAGGACACGTGCAGCAGCAGCAGCAGCAGTGACGGCGATAAGTGTCAAGCTGATACAGTAGAGCCTCGTCGCGAAAGTCGGTCGGCGTTGGCAGGTGAGCTAGTAGCTGTAGCGGAGAACGAGGTCGCGAGGCCAGTCGAGCAATCGGAATTCCTGCGCGAGGAGGAGGACCGAGGTGGAAGTGGCAATAGCGGCGCTGGACACGACGACGACGACGATGTTACGACGACTGCCGCTACAACTACAGCTGAGCCGTTGCCGCTCGATCGGATCGACGAGCAAACATTCTCCAGCCGTGCCGCCGACGCCGTCGTCGATGATGAGTAATGCATTACAATTGATTAATTAAGTAGCGCACTTTTCACGGACACATTTACAAAATATAATCGATGAGATATTTTAAGTAATGAATCGTGTAACGGATGCAAAACAATTCGAGTGCATATCGTACAGATACGTATGTAATTAAAGTGACTTTTTGCTTGGACATACGAGCCTCGTAGATGCATGTTTTTCATCCAAATATTTATTTCAGCGTTAATTTAATTAAATTTAACATTTAATCAATGACTTAAATTCCAAGCGCGCTTTCAATTTTCTTTACAGTACTATATCAAATATATTTCGATTACAATGACATGATATTTATTACAACTGCGACTTATAGAATTATTTTTAATTTGCCACTTGCAGATTTGTAAATAGAAATACTGGCCATCTAGTGGTGGAATCTTATAATTGAATTCTCATAAATAGTTTTCCAATTAACGCAAAAACTAAATCATTATAAAAACATTAATTTTAAACCAAACTTTTTAAATTTGAGGATAAAATCAAATCTTTTTTGTTTTTTTCTGCATAGAAAACAATGTATTTAATTGCATTTTCATGCATTTTTTGTGCAGTGTGTGGAAAAAAAGTCAGAAGTTACATTAATTTATACCGAAGTTTTAACGTAAGAGTACCTTTTATAAAATTCATTTTCGATTACTTGGAAAATAATCAATATAATCGAGCTCAATTCGCATTCTTAAAGTGAGTTACTTTACATTTATTTTTTAGTAACATTGAAGAAATCAACATCGAAGTATCGAGTGGAAGAGTCGCAATCGAAGAGCCGAAGCCGCAAGAAGAAAAAGCTACGAAATCAGCAGCAGCAGTAGTATCCAAGACCGCTGCTCGTAAAAGGCGAAAATCGAGCGCTCGAAGCCCGACGAACATAGGCGCCAAGCCGGCAAAAACATCGAAAGTCGGCAAAAAAAGAAAAATCAAGCTGCTCTCGCTGACGGACGAGGATTTCGAGAGGGCGCGGGAACAACGACGTCGCAAGTACAAGAGGTTCAACGAGCAAGAGGAGGAGGAGGACGAGGACTTTAGCGAGTTCGACGACAGCTACTGGGACGACGATCACCGCGAGCAGGAAGAACAGACGGGAGTCCTGGTATCGGATTTACCGTTCAAGCCGGCGATTGACATTTACGACTTGGAACGATTGCCGGAGGATGAGTTTTGCCCGCTCACCTTGGAGGACGATCCGACTTGCGAGGAGACGCGCTCCTGGCCGTAGGATTGATTGCATTTGTATAATTAATAATACGTCACTCTTGAATTTCTCCTACTGTATAGAAACCATATACGTCGAGCCGCCGAAGAGTAATACGCGGCTAAAGTTTCATTATTAGAAAATTGCTGCTTAATTGTCGCTGCAAATAATTTTTTATACATCGAAGCTCGAAGAATGTAACGAAGGTACATACCACAAATATAATGAGTACACGTTGCCACACTATTTGTATCATTATCGAATAATGCAATATAGTATCAAAGATATTACGAGAATATACCATATTATATACCTCTCGCTGGTCTACATTATTTTTCAGTCATTACCGAAGCTGACCCAGATACCGCCGAACGACCTCGAAGCCATCATATCGCGCCGTAATGATATCTAATACATTATTTATCTAGAAATTAATTTTAAATATTTACGACTAAAGATTGATTCTTGCAACACGCGAGCAGGAGAAAAGTCAATCCTATTTGAGATCGCTTATACGTAGAGCACGCGGCGCGGCAGCATCAGCGACGTTGAGGAAGATTTATACGATACACGTTCGGATCAGCGGCAGCACACCCGGAAATCCGACTTTGCTCCCAATACGTACGTAAGACGACCGGACGTATTCGGTTATAAAAAAAAAGGTTGACGGGGGTAGGTATGCACATACGTTATATAGGCGTCTTACACATGTGCCGCGTGTGAATATAAATATTCATGCGCTCCGAGTCCGAGATATAATGCTACATTCAAGTTCATTGTTGCGAACAATGCCAACGCCGCGGCAACGACTCCTTGCGCCAAGTGCAATTACGGCTCTTTAAAGACACTTATCGGACACCTGTGCGCCGCTCGAGTGCCACTGTTTACGGCTCTGCAGCTCGGCGTTATAGTATTCTCGTATAGTGTGTTCCGCATGTATGTGTCTATCAGACTCGATCTCGATGACAGCTGCTGCTGCTGCTGCTACTGCCTATGCTGGATGGAGCACAACTATACGCGCAGCCGCTACCTAAACGTCTTGTAAGCGAATAAATCAAATGCTCGGCTGTAGCAGAAGCGCCGCGACTCACTCGTTGCTTAGATATATTATATTGTTGTAGTCTCGCGTATGAGCACACCATTGTATTCATTAGTGGAAATGCGTGTACACGCGCAGGCGTCAGCACAGTCGAGCGACTCTCGGTTACTGCTGCTGGGCACAGCAGCAACTACGCCTGCTCCTGCCTCTGCATTCTCATATATTTAATGAAATTTTAACGAAACGCGTCTGGCCGCTCGTTAATGAAACCATAACGATTTCAGCTCGTTCCACTCGATTACCCTTTCGCTCTGGGTCTCTCGCCAGCAGCAGCAGCAGCAGCAGCAGCAGCAGCAGAGCAGAGGCAGAAAAGAAAAAAGGCGCAATTCCATGTAAATTAGAAAAGTTACGCGCGGAAAAATATTCGCCGCTCCAACGGTCAGCAGCGAGCTTTTGTCGCGTATAATACGTATGGCGCATATCATGGCTCGGCTCGCTGAGTGACAAGGATAAGTTTTCACAACTAATTTTACCGACATCGCGCGCGAGCTCGTGGCCGAGAATGCGCGCATAAATTGACACGTCGTGCGCTCGTCACTTGTGCCCGCGCACGTGCGTGTATGCGTGCATAGTATGCAGTGCCGAAGCTCTAACGACGATAATAAAAAGAAACCCGTTCCGAGCGCGGCTCATTGGGTCAAGTTCAACGGTCTTTTATAATACTTCTGCGCCAGCAATGCAACATGTTAAAGCTTGCCGTGCTTAAAATATATATTCGACGGGGGACAGCAGGCTTTATACGTGTCCAGTACCTGGAAAAACAATAAATACAATATGTAGGATATACCACAGGCGAGTCCTTATTACGTTACTCTAATTTTCGCCTTCGCAAAACGATGCTCCCGACTGCCATCGTGCACGTATACGTATGGGGGGCTACCGCGAGCTTTGCGAGGTTTTTTATTCCTGGTATGCGCGAGCTGCTCGTAAAATCGTATTCCCGCGTCCGAGCGCGAGTAATCCGTATACGAGAGCCGCTGTTATGGCCGACCATGCACGAAGCAGGCCTACGCACAATATGCTGCTGCTGCTGATACGTTCAGAGATTGCAAATTCAACTGTGAAGCAGTTGTTAAAAAATCGCGTGCCCCGAACCTAGTCAAACGGAAATATTTCGTATTTACCTCGCCTCCCTTTTTCGCGGTATTATTTTTGTAGAAGAGCCAGTGAAAATTAAAGATATTTAATTATTGAATTATGTGATACCACCTGGCCCCCCGAAAATAAGCGATTGTAACATTCATTCTATAATTTCTCGATACGTTGGTGATAAATTTTTTAAATCACGTTGGTTATCATTTTAGTTCTGATCTTCATATAATGTTTCTAAAAATTATTTTATAATATGGATCACATTTTTTTCGCCCGTTATTTGATTTTAAAAATGAGGTATATTTTTGCAGAAAATGTATAAAGGTTTATATTCCACAATATATTGAGTATTGTAACATGACGGATCGTAATTAAAGCTTTCGTTTGTCGTATTTGATTATAAGCTTTATGATTTCATCAACAGATGGCATATGATTAATTCGCATATGGCAAAAAATATTCTTATGGGTATGTATGAGCAAACGCAGTGTACTGTCATTGTGTTTTAATTGACATAGGTTAATGTTTTATTTAACAATTTATAAATTTGATATATCTATTATGAATTTGATATATATTATGAATTCATAATATGATTATCTAGCCTACAATACTTTACAAACATGTATTTACGTTTAAAGACGGGTTATTTTGGACTGTACGAATAAATAATCTTCTATTTTCATTCTAACGTCATATACCTGTAAAACTCAAACATTAAAATTGTATTATTATTTACAAAAATTCGAAATGTTTTTTTCGAATTCTTTCATTGGTGAAAGATCCTCGACTGCAAAGAAATTTTTACCCTGCATCCCTTCAATGTCTCTTGCCTCTTGAAGATAAGACGTATGAAACTTACTACCTCCCGGAAGTTTATAACAGGTGTATCCGATGATAGCTCAAAGCAATTAGCTGCAGAATTGTTCACGGTGAACGTTCGAAGATTTATTCCGCGAGGCGAGCTAAAAATTTTCACACACACATATCCACGCTGTGTACAGCACGTGTACGCTGTACGCGATGTTTTTATAGTCGCTTCTGGCGCGGAGGCAGGGCAATTCTCGCGCGCAGACGAATGCACAACTTCGATACGGCGATGTGGATTCGTTCGTTAACTTTTTTGAGGATACGTATATATGCAATTTTTTGCCATCATAAAAACCACGAGCGGCTCGAATATATGTATGCAGCTTGTGCATCGTTGATAATTGCCAACGAACTTCAAAGACGATCTTCTCCGAGCCTTCTGAATTTTCGTATTTTTAATTAACGCGCGCGTGCAACAGTAAGAATAACATCGTTATTGTCTCATAAACGCGTCCCACGAGCATATGAATACATTGTAATAAAAACTTTTATAAAAAAGCAGTCAAGTCGTGTCTCGCGTAAGGAGAAACAAAAATATACGCGTATAATAAACTTTTTGACCCAAATCTCATCTCGCGCCATTATTCAAAACAACAGATGCAGAAACAGAATTGAGCTTAGCGACTGTGTATATTGCGCGAGTGCATTAAGGCGACGTTATAAATATATACATGTACACGGCCACTATGTGGTTTATACATATATATAGTTTGGGCTGTAGCATTACGGATCGGAGGTGGTGCACAAGAGCACAAAAGTACGAGAGGCATTATACGATCCTATTGTCTCTCTCTCTCTATATGTGGCCGCACACGCGTATGCACATTCTAGGTCGTGGCCTGCCTCTCTGCGCGCGAGTTTGCAGTGTTGCTCCGCGCGCGCCCGCCATACATCGAAATATATAGATCATATAGGTACGCGGACAGTGGCACAGCACAACAAGTCGAGTTGCGCCGCACATATATATTTACTTTGTTTTTATTTCTTCTGCAGCCTTATTTATTTCGCCGTCGGTTAATAGGTTCCAGAAGTACGTTGGCATTTAGCAGGCGAGTAAAAAGAATGGCAATAAAATTTCATCGCTCGCTCAGAAGCTACTTAAAATACGTGAAATATATATTCGGTAAAATTTGCGCATACATAAGTATACACGGGAGGGGAAGAGATTTTCCAAGCTGCGCAGTCGAAAAGCCGTACAGCTAAGCGACCTTTGAGCGCGCGTGTATGTCAGCTCGCAAGGAAAGTCATATACAGAGTGCACTACAGTATTTCATTAGTTCGTCAGGGTCACGACGACGACGACGACGAGGCTTTCATTATTAATCTCTCAGAATATGTGTACAGAAGTCTCTTATACGATTGATGTTTAGAAAGTTCGTAATATCGTGCACGCGCCTCCATTTATACGCACAATAAACGCGCCGTTTCCAAATTTCTAATCGAAAGTATTATACACGCGGCGCATGTATGCAGATGCATGCGCGGCATATTTAGGTAATCGGGACTCTTTCGAATCGCAGTGGATATGCATGTGCTACACGTCGGTGCATTATTATTGTTGCTATTAATCGGTGCGAAGATATACGCGAGTCTGTCATGCGATATCCGCGCGCGCGCAGCGTTGCAGCTAATGCTCTTTGCGTGCAAGATACGTACGCGTACACACATGCATGTATCCGCGCATGTCTAAGTGCTACCGGAACTCCTTTTTTTACAATACGCACACACGTATGCAGCACGTGAGCGAGATATTTTCTTACTTATTTGCGCGTCTTGTTTTCGACGACTCGGCGCTTTTCAAACTTTCGACAAATTTCATGCTTTTTATGCTTTTTTTAAAAGTAATAATATAATGACGCTTCTAAATGGCTGAAGAGAAAAAAGTTTACACGTTTAACGCAGTATCAAACGGCTAAACGCGCTAAATTATGGCAAATAACTGTCCGTACAATTTGTCGATTCC